GTAAGAAGATTTTGTATTGTGAGAATATATTATTTATGGACATATATTTATAAGTTTGCTTTCGGTGAGCCTATGAAAAATAGAAAGTTTTCCTCCTGAGGTTTGGACAGTAAACGGTAGGAGCTGAGCCCTCAGCGGTTCCCAGGGAACCAGGGATAAATGGAAGCACCACAGAGCCCGTCCTGATGGTCTGTTAAAGATTCATGAAATCTCGACATGTACATACACCCTGTAACCCTAACGGAGAAAAATGCACCATATTTGTAGAACACAGAAATGTGAGGACACCTGCACACCCTCCCTGCCCCAGGGCCGGTGCTCCGCCGCAGGCCCTCTGCCCACTCCGCCGGCGGCCGCAGCCCCAGCCCTGGAGAAGGCCTGCGCGGTCCGGCCGCTGTTCCCGGGGGCGCAGGCCTGTGCCGTCCGGCGGCTGTTCCCCGGGGGGCAGGCCTGTGGCATCCGACGGCTGTTCCCGGGGGTGCAGGCCTGTGCCGTCCGGCCGCTGTTCCCGGGGGCGCAGGCCTGTGCCATCCGTCCGGCCGCTGTTCCCCGGGGGCGCAGGCCCCTTAGAGGACTCACAGAGGACAGATTCGGCCCCTCAGAGGACTCACAGAGGACAGATTCGAAAGGTCAGAACTAAAATTCAGCACAAGCTTGCTGAGCACTCGCCGCTCGTGTGGCGAACACCTTGTGAGGCCGTGACAAGCGCCCTGAACGACAGAACGTGCGAACGGCAGTGGGGACGAGAGAGGCACGGAGGAGCTCAGACAGGGTGCTGGGCAGTGGTAAGAGGCCTCGCGGACCCGAAGTCCAGCTCCGAGCAGTGCCAGCAACTCCGTGTCCGGAGGGAAGGGAACAGTGTCTCCATGGAGAGGTGAGGCCAGACGGCTCCGGTGTCTCCAGAGAGCCTCGCATGCAGGCGGACGGCGTGCAGCAGAGGGACCCGGGACGGCCAGGGAGGCCCTGGCGGGCCTGTCGTCAGGAGCAACAGCGTGGAGAATGGACGGGAGAGGCCAAGGCGGGCGCAGGGAGAGAAGTCGGGAATCCAAGGGGGGCGTGTGGGGGGGGGAGGGCAACGGGGACTTGTTTGGAGTCCGAGTCAGTTGGTTTGCTGATGGATTAAACCCCGGGTTTGAAGGGAGGCGATCATGGATGACCCTCGGTTTGTGGGGAGGGCGTGTCAGGAGGCAGAGAAAAGCCAGCTTCACAAGGTCAACTGAGTTGTGCTGGTGAGCACAGAAAAGGAGCTGTGGCATCAGCCGAAGGAAGGTCACTGGTGACGGGGTAGGGGGCTGCAGTGAGCAGGTGGAGGAGTGGGGTGGAGACAGGATGGGGTGGGCAGCCCGGGGTAGGGGGCTGCGGTGAGCAGGTGGAGGAGTGGGGTGGAGAGAGGATGGGGTGGGCAGCCCGGGGTAGGGGGCTGCAGTGAGCAGGTGGAGGAGTGGGGTGGAGACAGGATGGGGTGGGCAGCAGACAGCCTGACTGGGGAAGCAGGGCGACACGGTGCAGCTGGGAGTAACTCGTCGGAAAAGAAAATAATTTCAAGAGCAGTCAGATGTACTGTTGAACACACACATGCACACAGGCACACACACGCACACACACGGATACATGCACACCCATGCACACAGACACACAGGCACCCACACGCACACACATGCACAAGGTGCACACATGCACAAGGCACACACCCCTATGCACATAAATGCACACACATGCATGCATACACGCAAGCGGACGCACACACACAAGTTCCTGGTTGTAAATGGAATGTAAGAGGGTTTCCCATCACTTAGGCTAAATTCATCAACCAAAACAATGTGTTAACAAGAGAAATGGATCCCTAGAAGACATGCAAGGAGAAAAGAAAGTTATGCATAGAAATGTCACCCTGTAACAATTAGAACAACATCTATTGTGTTTTAAAAAGTTTGTGACCTCAAAATATAACGGCAAGTTGTTATTCCGTTGTCCGGGCGACAGAGCTGCGGGGACAGCAGGTATACCAGATCATCATAAACCATCAGGAAAGAGCTCACAAGACAGTCTGTGGTGGGAAGAAGCGCTGGTCAGTGAGCCGGGGGGAGTTAAAGACAGATCCTCTTTATCGTTCTCAATCTCTCACTCGGTCTTTTAATAAATGTTTTCTGTTTCTCAGTTGTTCCCTCTTTTTACCTCTTTCTTCATCTTTTCACATATTGCTTTCATTTCTTTTTCACAACCTTAGAGAACAAGAATCACATGTACACCCAGTATTTGTTTTTTTGAAGACGTACTTTACAATGGGAGAGGAAACCAGTTGTAGCTATAAGCCAGTTATCAGAGACCCTCTTTAAACATGGTGTTGGGAAGAAAATAGAATGATATTCTGGACAAACAAGTTACAGCGACATTTATATTGGACCAGACTAGGACGAACTGCGTTAATAATGATAAAAAGAATAAAGAGGGAGGATACTTGGGACAGTTCCCCAGAGGAGTATAATAACGCTGTACCTAGATGTGCCTGACAACATGGCCCGAGAGGCAACGCCGAGTCTTGCAGCCAGACTGCTTGGGTTCGGATCCCAGCTCAGAAGTCACCAGCTGCTCACCTTACGCAGGTTATGAAGCTTCTGTGCGCTCAGGTTCCTCGTGTTGAAACGTGAAAGATGCTGATACCTACCTCTTAGACTCGTTACAAGGATTGAATGAACAAATACACACAAGTATTGACGACAGTGTATCGTAAACTGGTTTCATAAACACTGGCATTTTTAGTGTTGCTGTTATTGATGTGAGTATCGTTGCCTCAAACCACACGAAGAAAAAAAATCAACAGGATTCCAAGGAAAGTTTGACATGTCAACAATCAGGAGATTTTTCAACTCGCTTCTCAAGAAAGTGTTGGGGGAGCTGCGGGATAGTTGTAATAAAATATTAAAACAGGCTGCCTCATCTTTCAGATAATACCCAAAAATGTAAATAAAACATTCAAAACTTAAAATAGGCAGTAAAAAAATAAATGAAAACAACTAGAAATGAGAAAATAAGATGACAGTAGTTAACCTAGACATAGAAATACATGCATGTGACTTAATATATTAAAAATACCTTCGAACCCATTAAATGATAAAATTAATGATTTGCTATGAAAGACATATAAAGTGCCAAAATAAGCAAAAGGAAAGAGAATTAGCAAAACACATAAAAAGTGTAAATAACATTATTTGTGGAATATAATGAACATAACAGTCTGAAGAACAGGGTAGTCGCAGAGACATGGTGGTTGGGTACAGACTGACAATCCCCAGAAGAGGGGGTGGTGGGGGAGAGATAAGCCACAGAACTTACATGCATGCATGCATGAACAATGGACATGGACAACAAAGCTGGGGACAGGGAGGGGAGGGAGGGGGAGTCAATGGGGGAAAAAGGAGAAACATCTGTAACAAAAAAAATGTAAATAACAATGTGTACACATGCCACTTTTAATAGGAAGTGAGGTGACAAGGTAAAATGACAGATAACAACATTGTACCTTTGGCAGCTGAATGATGTAGCAATACGTTTTTGTTTTTTTTAATTTGTACAGAATAATATTCTATAACATTTTCAAAGGCACAAATATCCCTGAGAAAACTGGTATCAGGTATATATTCCATAAACTTCTACTATGACTAAAGCTAATTTCATGAATATTCAGGATTATACAATGAAATTCATGCCAGTCTATACCGCCGTGTGGGGTTCATTTCCTAAGCTCCACCTCCACGGGGACTTGAGCATTCTTGTCCCTGGACTGCTTGTTTCCTTGGCTGGCTGGGCAGTTCGTGGGTAGACTGGAGACAGACCTCCTGCTCGGTGACTGCAGGATGTTTGCTGAATGGAGACTCACAGTAAACACGGGAACGCGGTAGGGTGGCGACCGGTCACTCAGAACCAGGAGCAGAGGGCACGTGGTTAGAGACGCCAGAACCTCCCGCTGTGAGGGGCCCGAGGGTATTCAAACCTGCTGACGTAAAAGGGACCTTCTGTATGGTATCGATGGGCTCCTCACATAGAAGGTGACAATTAGATGGTATCGATGGGCTCCTCACATAGAAGGTGACAATTAGATGCCGGGGACATTCATAAGGACTCGGAAACCAGGAAAATGCGCACCTGTTACCGGGAGTCCTCTGCTCTGTGGGTGGGTGGTGCCCCGGTCTGAGTCTGTGGGCTGCTTTCCCCGTGTCACCATCAGGGTCATGGGTACTCCAGACAGGCCTCCTGCCTGTGAGCGGACCCCAGCCGGCTGTCCTCCTCTCAAATCTCATTTTAGTTCCCATCTCCCGTGGGGCCGGCACTGCTGCACAGGGACAGGGTCAAGGAGGCAGCAAGTGAGAGACGGGCCGGTTCTCAGCAGAAGCAGACGAGAGGTTTAGGGTACTTTGGTTCTGAGGTGTCGGTGGTCTGCTCAGGTTCAGCCCACTGTGTGTCTTCCCCATTTTCCCCTGATGACACGAACATTCTGTCACCGAGGCTCCAGGGAACAGCCAGGGGACATGTTTCACCCCTCGCTCTCGTAGCCGTGAACATGTATTTTGCACTCTCCCTAATAGGTTCTTGTTAGAAATGCAAATGCTAATCTCTGTTCTGTTTTTTGTCTATTTTTTTGTTGTTGTTTTATTTTTACATCGATCTTTCCAGCATACGTACTAGAGAATTCTGAAATTCTTTCCAACATTGCATTTGTGCCAAGGTGTAAAAAGCAAACCCCCAAGTCCCCCCAAACAAGTACTGAAATGCCTCCGATGTCGATGATTTATCATTCTAATCTGTCAAAAAGAAAAGGTCCATGATTTTCACCCCATTGCAAATAGGTTTAAGACCCGAGGACAGACTTCTGGGTGCCCGCGCAATTGGTCAACCAAGTCCTCTGACGACGGAGGAGCTCCCTTGTCCTGAGTTGGTGACAGCGTCCAGCTGGCCGGCCGCCTGCGTGTGTCCTCACACGCCTGTCGTCTCTGTCCCTCCAGGTGGAGATCGAGAAGCTGGATTACCACCACTACCTGCCTCTGTTTTTCGACGGGCTGTGTGAAATGACCTTCCCCTACGAGTTCTTCGCTCGGCAAGGGGTCCACGACATGCTGGAACACGGGGGCAACAAGATCCTCCCTGTCGTTCCGCAGCTCATCATCCCGATCAAAAGTAAGTGACCAGGTGGAGGCGCTCGCTCAGCCTTGGGGGCCCCTGTTGGGCAGCTCGCCAACTAAGCAATAAAGCAACAGACGGAGGCCGTGGCCTGGTTGGTAGGGTTTTCATAAATGGACGGATGGGGACACACATCCCAACTCTCCTCGCCGCGCAGACACCCTGAATTGCACGGGGTTTACACCCATCTAAAGTGCTCCGTAGCAGACACGCATCCGTGCAAACACATTTGTGCAGAAACAGGCGAAGGGCGAGTGTGTGTGTGTGCATGTGTGTGTGCGTGTGCACGCGTGCGCACTGCCGCTGACTGCCAGGTTCTCTGACTCGTAAACAGTGTCTGCGCAATTATGCGCAGTATCTTTTGGGTAATAGGAGACATAATTTTAAGAAAAAAATCTGGAATGGGGAAAAGATGAATGTTTCTGAATACTTTAAAATTTCCATCTATGACAGGTCACTGGGGGGAGGGGGAGCTCTAGAGTAAACCTGTCACAGCCTTTATGTGTTAGTCGGTAAATGACAGGATGGCCAGCTTCTTCCTGATGGACCCTGTGGACTGCTTGTCTGCAAGCCACCCCCTTTCAAGACCGTTTCTGAGGCTGTCATTGTCCAGGGCAGAGTCCTCTGACAGCTGCTCCCCATCCGGTCTCCCTGCCTGGCCGCCACCGCTGCTGCGGACCCTGTACTAAAGCCACCTACTGGGACACAGCCCCGGGAAGAGACAGCCAGGCTCTGTCCTCAAACACAAGTGGCCAGGCCCGGCGCCTCACCACCCCCAGAGAGCCCCAGATCCCGTGGCACCAGCATCCCTCACCCACACTGTGACAGCTGATTGACGGCAGAGGGTCGGTGCCCCGGAGCACTGCCAAGGTGGAGGACACCCACCTTCTCCCCAGCTCTGGCTTGATCGGGGCCTCTGTCCCTGGCTTCAGAGGGATGAGCAGGTCTCTGTATCGCCCCCCTCACCTTTGCCTCGGTCCCTACTCCAGAATGAACCCCCTCCCGGGATGATTGACAGGATGCCTGCCTAGTCTCCTAGGGTCTGGGGGAACCCTGCCCTCTCTGTCTCAGGGGAGCGCTTTCCAAGTGGTTTGACCAAAACAAGAGAAACGTAGTTCAACCTGGGATCCTGTCGCACAGTCTGGATTATTTAACTTGGTCTGTGGTCCCCTTTGTCCTGGGTTCAGTATGTCACCAGATTTCTAGGTCTCTGACCCTCCTGCGGTCACTGTTTCATTGGAGTTGACTCTGAAACTTGCTCTCATCTTTGAGACCCTGGGAGAGCCCATGACTAGCGCTCCAGGTCGCCCCCTGGGTGGAGGAAGCGAAACTGAAGGACGTGCTCCCCTGGGGGAGAGGGACAGGGACAGAGCGGCGACTCCTACAGCTGCTTCCTCCTGGGAAGTGTGCAGAACACCGGCCACCCAAGCGCCCTTGCCGGGGTTTGCTCTCACAGGCCCAACTTCCGAGTGTGCTAAACTCTGGTCGAGGGGCTACGTTTTCTGAAGGATGGTGCGCGAGTTTCATTAATAAACAAGAAAGGCGCGGAACATGGTCCCCATCCCCTATTTTCCTGCACCCATCAGAACAGCAGCGACACCCCAACCCTGTTCTTCTCCTTATACTGCTCCTGTGGGGACCCCTGGCTTCTCAGCAGCCCCCCTCGGTTCCCGCAGGGACACGGAGGGCGGGAGGAGAGTTTCCGAGGAATATTTTCATTATACTATTGACAATAAAAACGTACCTGATTGGCATGTTGCAGGCCAAGGGGAGCTGATTTTCAACTTTGTTGGATCTGTATTTTGAAGATTCTTCAGTGGGTTGAGAGAGAAGTGGTGTGTTGTGGGAAGGACAGAATTTACAGGAGACACACACTAGGGTCATTGCTGATGAGCGAAAACATCATTAAGAACTCAGTAAACATGACTGAGGATATTCAGTACACAGGGAATATTCAGTGTACAGGGAATATTCAGTATACAGGGAATATTCAGTGTACAGGGAATGTTCAGCACACAGGGAATATTCAGTGCACAGGGAATATTCAGTACACAGTGAATATTCAGTGTACAGGGAATATTCAGTGCACAGGGAATATTCAGTGCACACAGGGAATATTCAGTGCACACAGGGAATATTTAGTGCACAGGGAATATTCAGTACACGGAATATTAGGTGCACACAGGGAATATTTAGTGCACACAGGGAATATTCAGTGTACAGGCAATATTCAGTACACAGGCAATATTCAGTGCACACAGGGAATATTCCGTGCACAGGGATTATTCAGTGCACAGGGAATATTCAGTGCGTACAGGGAATATTCAGAACACAGCTAATATTCAGTGTACAGGGATTTGATGATTGAAGGTTCCAGAAGCAATGAAAGTTTGTCCTGGCTTCTGCTCTTGTACGCTGCCTGAATCTAGCTTGGCTTCTTCCTTCCCTCTGTTCCTGTCCCTGAAATCCCAGCATTGCTCTGGGGGGACATCGATTAACCAGGGAGAGCACGCCCGTTCCGGCCCTGTGAGAAGAGCATCACGTGTGCAGACGACATCCCGCAGGTGGGACTCTAGACCCAGCTGATGGGTGCAGAAGCCAGGCTGGCGCACCGGATCGGCACAGCATGAGACAGCTGTGCGTGTCTTCTTTGCAAATGGGTACTACCACATCCCTTTACTCTCCAGGGGCAAAAACGAGCCTTTTCAGCACCAGCCACCAAGCTCCTCAACAGCTGGTCTCACATCCCAACCCGTGTGTGTGAAGGCAGGGACGGCACCAGGTCCCGGGACGCTGAGCACTGGGCCGGCTGCCCATCAGTCTGGGGTGGGGAGTTGGTTTTAACTCATTCTAAGGCTGATGCCACTGGAGTGAGAAGTGGACTTAGCCGTGGCCCTGGGTGTCTTGTAGGACAGGTATGAAGACGCGTCCCCTCCTGGCTGGGTTCAGACGCCAGGCTCCATCACACCCGGAGCCATGTGCGTCGGATGCCCCCTCGGCGTCGGATACCCGTTGGCGTCGGATACCCCCTCTGCGTCGGATACCCCCTCGGCGTCGGATACCCCCTCTGCGTCGGATACCCCCTCGGCGTCGGTTGCCCCTCGGCGTCGGGTGCCCCTCGGCGTCTGATATCCGTTGGCGTCGGGTGCCCCTCGGCGTCGGGTGCCCCTCGGCGTCGGATACCCCTCGGCGTCGGATACCCCCTCGGCGTCGGATGCCCCCCCCTCAGCGTCGGATCCCCTCGGCGTCGGATACCCCCCCCTCCCCCCGGCGTCGGACGCCCCTCCGCGCTGCTGCTGGACGGCAGCACTCTGGGTGCTTCTCTGCGCCTCCCGCGCCCTGCTCTGCACCTGCTGGAGCTGTTCCGGGTCAGGACCTCCAAGTAACGCCGTTATGGAATAGTCAGGTGGCCGTGAGCCCTGGTCGCCGAGGGCAGCAGCAGGACGTGGTGGTGAGGACGGGGCTAGAGGAGCCCCCGGCAGGAAGAACTGCACGTCGGAGATGCCCGTTTACTCCCTCCAGCCCGGGAAACACAGATCCATCCGACTCCAGCCGAGCGACGTGGAGAAGACCTTCTAACCACCCCTCACGCTCAGAAGGGGTTCCAACAGGGGCCAGGAGGCCGGGCGGCGCCCGGAGCACCCACAGACTGCGGCTTAGGGAATCTCTCCCGGTACAGACGAGAACAACCACACGGGGCCGTCAGAAAGGCAGCTGCAGGCCGGGAGGGAGATCTGGACACGGCCACGACGTTTAGTGCCCCGTCCGGAAGAAGTGTGTAGAAGCCTGTTTGGCACCCCCAGGACTCAGGAAGATGGGCCGTGAGGGACAGAAGCAGGAACTCACAGGGTGAAGGAAGCCAGGGCTGAGTGGAGGAGGGGACTGAAAATGCCACCTGGGAAGGGACATCTCCCCGGAGGTCCGGGGAGCATCAGCGGCACCGCCTCACACTGCAAATGGGGACTGCCACCTGAGGACCCCCACAGAGAAGATGAGAGTGCAAATACAAGGTGACGAAAGAGTGTGACCCGGAGGACGAGGGGTGCAAACAGGAGCTGACCATCACCAGGTCCCCAAGGAGACGACCCAGGAACAGTAATGAGGACAGAGGCGGGGGGAGGCATTTTCTGGGATGAGAAAGGTCCCGTATTTTGTGGGTAGAAAGACTCACCGCAGTCGAAAGAAAACCAATGAAGAGAACCCGCATCTGGGCATATTTTGTCGAAACGTTTCTCAGATAAACAGAAATCCTCAGGCACCTGGACAGGGCGGGAAAAGGCTGCACACCAAGAAATAACAATAACTGGGGAGACTCGTGGCCCCTGTGAATCTGGGACAGAGATGGCAGCGGTTTTGGAGACCTTGGGGGAGAAGCATCAGTCATGTGACGACGGACCCAGGGACTCGTGACTGTGATGCCCACCGGCCCGTCAGAGGGCTCCTGAGCGTGTGCCCCACCTGTCAGGGAGGAAAACAGGGTCAGAACCCCCAAAATGAGGGTGTCATGAGCCATAGTTTGAAAGCAGTTAGCACTGAGACCCACCACACCCAGAGTTAAGTGAATGTAGTTGGTGGAAAAAGAGTTTCGAAACTGCATGAAATGTCAAATAATAATTTTACAGTAATGTGTCTAAAAATCCAAGGAAATGAGGTATGAGCCTCCCAGGTCGGTGGAGAAAAGTGGTTTAAACAGAGTCTACTTCTTGAAAGGACGAACACTGTGTAGACAGCAGGGACTGCGGAGTCACAAGCACGAGGTGAGCTGAGAATGTGAAACCTAACGCATCAGCCACAGACATTCGCTTGCAGTGGCCTGTGGGGAACAAATCTGAATATAAACTCTCTCCACAAAGCAAAATAGTACTTACCTAAAACAGAAGATATATTGGGACAAATTTTTTAAAAAAGAAGAAGACAGGAGTTTCGAGTTTAACTTTAGAAAAGTAGCATTCAACATAAAAAATTGTCAGGTGTGTAAGGAGGGTTGATTTATACTG